TATAGGCACCTGAAACAATAACAGCTTTGGTCGGGGGTACCGGAATTAGTACTCCGACGGTCTAGTTAGTCTTCTCTTTTAACTGGTATAAGGGTTAGGTGTTTTTAACATACCTGATCATTGGGTCTTCCTCCTCCTTTTATAGACCTTTTCTTCTTAGGTTCTCTCCTCTACTACGCACCTTATCTGGATCTCAATGCTTTATGGCGAGGAATCGACAACCAACCATGATGTCAACTTGTAATGGATTACTCAGCGTATGCATTTTAGGATTAAGAGATATCACTCGGCCAAATGTATCCGATGGATGATGCCTAATGGGCCGATTCGCAATCTGGGCCCGATGGTATTGGGCCACATAAATTCGGCTCCCACAACTATTCATGGGTCGGTTTTGTTTGCAAACCATCATTCAAACTGACCACTTCAGGTATAGAAGAACACCACCCAATTTCGATTAATTACGCTTCGAAACCACGAAGCATCGGGTCTCTTTCAAGTGTCAGTTATTAGTTCGAATGAAAACACAAAAAATAAAAGTAAAGTCAGTGAGTAAGGAAGTGAAGGCAAATTTGTAGACACCTTTTTTTTTGTAATTTTCTTGAAACCCAAATAATAAGTATTATTTCAAGCCAAGGGCTTAATGTGTAAACGAGTTAGTACTCTTTTGTTGAAACCAAGTGTTAGCTTGGAAAGCTGTAAGCCCGTAGGGCATTTTGTTTTGATGTTAACATGTAATACTTATGTAATGAAACTCAATGAAATAAAGGAATGTGGTTAGTTTATATGTAAATGCTTGTCTTATCTGATGGGTTTAATGTTATTATTTTGAGGGCGTTACAGATTACAAATCATTATTAATCTTTACAATGATAGGAACAATGAATTCTTGGTACTGCATAGGGGAATAACACAACCTTTAACCGGAGGAACTTTAAAAATTTTCATAATTATTTTGTAGGAATATAGCGCTGATGAGATCATATATCTCAAATTATGCTCTTTTTTTATCAACATGAGTGAGAAATATTGTAGTCTTTTTAACCATAATCTTAATTGTATTTTTTAGAGGTTGCTTTATGGTCAACTTGTTAGTTCCAAACCTCCTACCAAGCTTTAACTTATATAATTTTAAGGGTAAATTATACAAATAGTCCTTGTAGTTTACACGATGTGTCAATTTGATTCATGTTGTTTCAATTTGCTTGATTTTACCCCTTAATTTAATGGATTGTGTAATTTTAGTTCAATAAATAACGGTTGTTAAGTTTGATAAACGGAAAGTCAATCTATATGTCAATTTGGTCCCGTAGTTTACACAATGTGTTAATTTGGTTCTTGTCAAAATCGAGCAAATTACAATAACAGAGACCAAATTGACACATTGTGTAAACTACGGAGACCAAATTAACACATTGTGTAAACTACAGAGACAAAAATGACACATTGTGTATACTTTCCGTCCACCAAACTTAACAACTGTTATTTATTGAACTAAAATGACGCAATCTGTTAGATTAAGGGAAAAAATCGAGCAAATTGAAATAGCATGGACCAAATTGACATATCGTGTAAACTATAGGGACCATTTGCATAATTTATCCTAATTTTAATTATTTTTTGGACAACTTTCTTTCCTTCAAATTGAAAGATCTTATTAGGCCAAGTTTGGCATGTCCAAGAAAAGTTAAAAAGTCAAAAAGCTACTCAAAAAATTAAAAAGTTAACACTATTCAACAAAAGTCAACAATTACGGCTGTACAACTCCCAATCCTAATTTTCTCATACAAACTAATTTTTACAATTTTTTATTACACATTTTTTCATAAAAAGTCAAAAAGTTAACCAAAACATTTATATTTTCTTTCTTAATTTTTTAGTCTAAAAAGACAAAAAGTACACTTATTTAGGACACCCCAAACAATCACTTGCTATTTTAGATGGGTTATTCGTGTGCCTTGTTATTAAGGCCAAGTTTGGGAAGACTAAATAAGTGCACTTTTTGACTTTTTATGAAATATGGGTTGGATTTGGGTTGGGTTTGAAGTGATGTGTTAGAGAGGTGATGTGACTTAAATAAGATGATATGACTTAAATAGGATAGTGACTTTTTGACTTTTTGAATTTTTTGAAAGATGCTAAACTTGGCCTAAAAATCAAAATAATAGATAGCCAAACATTTTTCATAATTGACCGCTTAGTACGCCAATGTGTTACAATTATTCATTCGGATACCACTCATTATGCTACTAAAGTATTTAAACAAATATTATTCTAGTAAATGAACATCAATTTCGATGGAATTTCTCAAAACTGTTAATAGAGTCTTAATTGTTGAATTTGTTCAATACATACAAAATAATCAACTATATTAAATTAGAAATAGTTCTACCTGAATTAATGCAGTTTAAATGAAAAATAAATTAAAATGTGCATATTTTACTAAAATGATCACATAAAGTAGAACATGCGGTAATATTAGGCTTGGTTTGGCATCTAATTATGAAGTCATTTTTATTTATTTATTTATTTTTTATTTTTTGTCTTTAGTATTTTTTTCAATTTTTTTTAACATATTTTTTTTAAAAAATGTGCATATTTTTATTTATAAAAATGATCACATAAAATAAAATAGGGATAGTATTAGGCCACCTGGGGCAAGTGGCGATGAACCATTAAGATCTGACTTGCCATATAATTAAAAAGTCATATATTATTTTATTTATTTTTATTTTTTTTGTCTTTATTGAAATTTTTTAAATTTATTTTTAATTTAAATTTTTTTGAACGTTTTTAGTCCATTTAATTGAGTATAACTTTTTTTGAAATTAAAAACGATGAAATATGAAAGAACAAAAAGACAATCTAAAGACAGTGACAACATTTTATGGGAAATTACTGATTAGAGACGGAATATGAAAGAATCAGATTCGTGCGTTAGATTTGGAGAAACAATTTTATAAATATTCATTGGTAGGGGGAGGATTTTGTTTTTAATACAAAAAATATACATAAATTTGTATTTTTTTGATGTATCAGTAAGTGGTAAAATATTTATTTCACCTCAATATGTTTTGAAAGAAATTAATAGACAAAAAAAAAGCAAAATATATAAGCAAATAAGTTCGATCAATAAGATTAGTTAATAAATTTTCTTAAAATTAAGATTATGACCTATTTTGGAAGTATGTTAAAACTTAATTTTTGGTTTCAAGAAATTAAAAAATTAAATTTTAATCAGTTAACAAAATAAGCCTATATTATAATACACAAATTTTAAGATCACAAGTAGTGCTGGTGAAGACACTGTATGGTTGTGTCAGATCGTTGTAGAAGGCACTGTGTGGTCGTGTCGGACCGTTATAGAAGCTAACCGGAATCAATGTCGGGACAGTTTACGGGGTCATGTCGGACCGTTATAGGAGCTAACCGGAATCATTGTCGGGACAGTTTACGGGGTCATGCCGGACCGATGTAGAAGCTGACCGGAATCAATGTCGGGACAGTTTACGGGGTCATGCCGGACCGTTGTAGAAGCTGACCGGAATCAATGTCGGGACATTTTACGGGGTCATGCCGGACCGATGTAGAAGACACTGTGTGGTCGTGTTAGACCGTTGTTGAAGACAGTTTATGGGGTCATGTTGGACCGTTGTAGAAGCTTGTGGTGGTGCACCAAGGGGGCTACTTAGGGAGTGCGCCATGGGGTGACTTGAACATGATACTGTGTATAACCCCCCCTCAAACTCAAATAGGTGTGAAGATAGAAACCTATTTGAGGTTGAAACAAAGGGATTGATAAAGCTGACCGGTGTAGAAGACACTGTATGAGTGTGTAGATAGGCTGCCCAAAAGATATACAGGGATATAGAAAATAGCATGAAATTCTTTTGAACAAGATGTTTGTTTGTTTGTTGGTTTTTTTTTTTTTTTTTTTTTTGGTGTTAAGAATAATAAAAATAATAATAATAATAATAATAAAATGTATTAATGGAGAAAGCATGTGCGCTGGTGGGTGGAATAAATTAAGGCAAATGATGGATATGACTAAAGTTGGCCTGGTGGGTGGAATATATTGGTGGAAAGATATTATAATAAAAATATATATATATATATTAAAAGAAAAGAAAAGTGGGAAAGAACGTGGGTACGGTTGGTAAGTGGGAAATATGAGTGTAGTGAGTATTGGATATAATAATAATAATAATAAAAAAAAAAGGAAAAAGGTAGACCACTTGGGTCATGAACAATGTTCTTTAAACAATCTTTGGCTGTTTGTGAATCAGCATCCTCATTGTGAGGCCAGACCTCAAGGAACTCCCAAAAATAGTCTTTCCAGTCTGTAGAAAGCAATTCACCAGCTGCTAAAAGTAGTGGGTACCAGACCACTTGGCCTGAAGAGCCATGTGCACGTTCTTGGGACGATGACTCTCCACAGAGACCAAATGCCCAGAAAGGCTCAGAAATCCAACGAAAACGAACAGAACCCAACACCCAGATCTAAAATGGGTCCACATTCCTGAAACCTAATTGAGTTTAAACTTGCTGGGCTCATCAGATCAGAGTATCGCCAGTGATTCACAAAAGGGTTCTTGTACAGAGATCTATGGCTTCGGTGAACCGAAGGATTACATTGGCGACAGGAAGTCGGAGAACATGGTCGGCATGCTCGAGTTTGGACGTCTGTCACGCCTTCGCGCACGAGCGCTTCGACGAGGACGTCGAAGCCCTTTCTGGGTTCGCCGGCGGCGAATCTGGAGACGAATGGTTCGGCGGCGGCGGGGGTGGTGGTTTTGGGGTTGGAGAGGACATTGAAGATGTGGAGAGGGCGGCGATCGGATGGAGATGCCAGGGCTACCAGCGGTGGCCGCCATGTTTGACAAGCAGCAGAGAGGAAATGGAGCTTCTGTAGGGTTCTGGCAGAGAGAGAGAAAGAGAGGGAGGGAAGGCATGGTACAGCCATTGATGTGCCTGGACCTAAAGTTCATCGATTGGCTGCTATGGCTGGAAAATATAAGGTATATTTAGTGATGGGTGTGATAGAGATGACAGCGGAATAGGTTGAGCTCCGGCGGGCGGCCAAGGCAAGGTTGCCGCCCGCCGGTGAAGCGAAAAATAGTAAGTGCTTAACCTTGCTCTGATACCATGTTAAATTTGATGTATGGAAAAATAGATAGAATGAAATATGTATTGATGATTGATTTATTGATTGTTTACAATGATTCCTATATATAGAAGAGTAGAGTAGGTAGGTGTGTAGTAGGTGGAGTAGGTGGAATTTTAACAGGGTCCAATTTAAACATATTATATAATATAAATGACAACTAGCTATGCTTTACTTTACAACTTTTCTGTACACTAATAATACTAACATTATAAATATTCATTGGTAGGGGGAGGATTTTGTTTTTAATGCAAAAAATATACATAAATTTGTATTTTTTTGATGTATCAGTAAGTGGTAAAATATTTATTTCACCTCAATATGTTTTGAAAGAAATTAATAGACAGAAAAAGAGCAAAACATATAAGCAAATAAGTTTGATCAATAAGATTAGTTCATAAATTTTCTTAAAATTAAGATTATGACCTATTTTGGAAGTATATTAAAACCTAATTTTTGGTTTCAAGAAATTAAAAAATTAAATTTTAATCAGTTAACAAAATAAGCCTATATTATAATACACAAATTTTAAGATCACGAGTAGTGCTACCGACTCCCAATGAGCCGACCCCCACTGACAACCCCAACCCCAGTGAAGTGTCGGCTCCCCATTAACTGAAAACAAAAAAAAACAAAAAAAATAATTTTTTTCTTCCAATCAGAGAAGACCCAGTACCCCACTGCGGGTCCAAACGCATTTTCCTAAGATCACCAAGTGTAATGATGACACTATCCAATGAATAATTTGATTTTGATATAGAGACCACAACCTGATTGGATTAGTAGAAGCATAGTCAATATCCAAATCTATCGCCAGCTGTTCTTCGGCAATTGCGAACAATGTTGATCTCCTTACAGAGATTCTCATACGCGTTCCTCCCAAATCCTTACTCAGATTCAAGTCTGTTTTCAAGAATTGGCTCAATCTCATCTCCAACTCTAACTTTGCATTCAACCACGCCCTCAGAAATCGCAATTCCTCCATCTCTGGCTTATATTTCACATCCCTCGATTCTTGCTCTGCAAAGAACCAAGTGAAGTCTGTCTCGCTTCAAGGCCATCAAAATCTTCCAACACTTGACTTCCTCGACCACGGTGCTGGATCAGAATTTTCAATCAGGATTCAAAGCTCTTGCAATGGATTACTATTGTGTGATTGTGTTCAAATTGTTTGGGATTGTAATAGAACCGTTGTTGATCGTATTACAATTTGTTACATTGTTTGTAATCTGACTACGCAAAAATACAAACTACTTCCTCAACCTTGTGGATGTTTTTGGGGATCATATGGTTGCTTAGCTTTTGATCCTTCGAAATCACCGCACTACAAAGTTTTGTTGGTATTTAATAGTACTAATAAATTTGAAATTTACTCTTCGGAGAGTTTGTCTTGGAAACAGTTTGATTTCACTGACGCAGAAAGTTTTTCAGGAGGAGTTTATTGGTTTCCATGATAGTTTTCTTGTTTTGTAATCTGGTTGATGTTAAAAAAATATTAAAAAATAATAATAAAATAAAAAATAAATAGAGGTTTGAATGGTTGTATGTTGACATCCTAGAAAATTAAACATACATGAGGTTTGAATGGTTGTATGTTGTCTTTATTTTTTTTTTGCCTCCTTTCTCTGTAGTCAAACAGATCATCCAATATGTGGTTGGTTATAATCATGGATGTTCAATTTTAAATTTACTGATTTTGTCAAGAGAAGTGAGCAAACAATTGAGGATCTTAAAAGGACGTAGAAAAGACAAGGGAACATGACATAATATATTGCAATTTATTCTGAGAATTTGATAAAGAATAGTGAATAAACTTGCTTCAGAGGTTCTCAGCCAAACTGTTTTCTGAAACAAAACAATATAGGAGAAGAACTAAGATCTGTTGTACGGCATATCTAGTCGCTAAAATCACAAATGGTCAAGCATTCATAAATCCACAACTCTAATCTTAAAAGAAAATTCTATAATGAAAAGCTTGTCAAAAGGTTTGATCCACAAAATAATACCAATTCAAGAATTAGAACACAACTCAGAGAGATTGACACCCTTCTTTGCTTTGAATCTTCAATTGCTGCTATAGTTGTTTTCTTTGCCAAACTAAACTCATTATGCACTTTCATTTTTTTATTTTTTGCATGGTATTGAAGACATTATTATCAACATTGGATAAAAAAATTTAGTAGGGGAACTCTTCATGGAAACCAATTAAACCTTCATCAAAATAAGCACGTGATTAGCTATCGATCAACTAATTTAGGCGAGTGTTGCCTAAGAGTGTAATCTTACCTTGAGAATGCCATTATCATGAGACAAAAAATTAATCATTAAACTGAAAAAATAGTTGAAAATCCAAATTCCATTTCAATACATAGATGATATTTGTTTTAGTCACACAAGACAATAATATATCATATATTATTATGTGATCAAATGATGAGATATTTCATTTATCATTAGGACATGTTTAACATGGCTTGAGCGCGAAATTAGCTAACAAATCTTGTTGATTATATCAACAAATCATATGCCACTTGTACCTGGCAAAAACTTAGATTGAGAGGGAAAATCGAACTTTTGAAAAATGACACATTCATCAAAGGAAGTCTTCAGTTGAAGGCAAGTCCCCAATCAGCAGTTCAATCTCAAAGAACACGATCACCCTATCGTTCAACAAGTGCATCGCTTTTTACCATAATCTTTGAAATTCCAAGCCCTAGCTGTCATCAAGGCTTCTTTAATGGCGAGAGCTTCCAACACTCTGCATGAAGCCTCCGATATCAAAGGAATAGGAAATATTATCAAGCCTACACACGTAAGACGACACACTTTTCTTCTTTCGCAACAATTCTCAAACCTGGTTTATATCCAGCCTTATCAGTTGCAGTGTAAAGTATTCAATTTCATAATGGGTAGACAAGGAGAACACAATCCACACACCAACAAGTGTACTTCCTGACCATTCTCATTCTGTCTCTGGCAAATCTTTGCCTCCAAATTATTTTTTATATTTAATTATTAATAAAAATGAGTTCATATTTCTAATTTTATTTCCCTAATAGGGGCTCATATATAGAGCAACACAAGTGACCAACAATGTATCCAAGGCCAACCTAAAAGAGAATATAAACATCAATTGAATGACAGTAGCATTAGTACCACCAAAACTCTAATCAATACTCCTCCACAAGAGGTAAATTAGATCATTGAATTCTAAACACAATATTTTGTTAAATAATGTAGAAGATGATAGCATTGAGATAAAGGAAGAACATGCTCTACCATTACTATGATGATAGGCTTGGAAAAAGGGGATAGGCTTCAACAAGAACAATGCACTCACTTGCTCAAACATGGGATAGACTTTCAATGAATTGATAAGCATCTGCACTGTGTCTCCTATCCTGTTTTATTTTATTTATCAGTTTATTTTTCTGTTTTGTGACTCTCTCCAAACTCAAGTTGGCTAGTGCCTATCCTCCTTGAGTTTGAGGGGGGCTGTTAATGTAAATGTAAATTGTAAATAGTAAATCACCACTACCTACCACCATCACCTACCACCACCTACTCCTCACCTACTCCTCACCTACTACACTCACCCTCTCCTATATAATGAGCCACTCACCATTTGTAATATACACAACAAGCATACATTATTCAATAATACAATTTTCTATTTCTTTTATACATCTGTTTTAACAAGTTACATTGTTTGTAATCTGACTACGCAAAAATACAAACTACTTCCTCAACCTTGTGGATGTTTTGCGGGATCATATGGTTGCTTAGCTTTTGATCCTTCGAAATCATCGCACTACAAAGTTTTGTTAGTATTTAATAGTACTAATAAATTTGAAATTTACTCTTCGGAGAGTTCATCTTGGAAACAGATTGATTTCAGTAAAGCAGAAAGCTTTTCGGGAGGAGTTTATTGGAATGGAGCAATCCATTGGTTGACCGAAGAAGAAAATGTTCATACTAGATTTGATTTTGATACAGAGAAGCTAATAGAAATCCCAATTGCTCCCACGCCTAAAATTCTCTCTCTAGACAAGATTAGGTATGGTGAAGAATGTTGCGGCCGTTTACTTCTTATTCGGATGCCTTTGTTTTATTCTATGGAATTCGAAATCCTTGAGATGGATAGGGACTACTGCGGTTGGATTGTGAATTGCAATGTCAATCTTGCATTCTTAAATATTTGTTAGGTTGTTGGTCTCTAATGCTACAATCAGCTGTTTCATATTTACATTCTGTTTTAAGTTCCCTAGGCTAGGGCTGACAAGTAATGGACAATTCATTCATATTTCAGTTTCCATTCCTATTCTACTAGAGTATCCGTGTGATTACACTTATGTTGGGTTACATGTGAGCCTTCTTTTGAATATAATATATTAGCTCAAGTATAATTCTGATTGCCTGATAGGGGTGTGATGTAGGAGTAGAAAAATAAAATAAAACAGAACAGAACAAAAAATTATGACACCATAATTGTTGGACAAGAAATCCAAAATTATCACCACTCACCTTGATCATCTGCTGATTGCAACATACATTATTAGTTAATTTCTTTTTTTTTTAATGGGTTATAACATGACAGGAGAGAGACATGATAGTTTTCTTGTTTTGTAATTTGGTTGATGTTAAAAAAATATTAAAAAATAATAATAAAATAAAAAATAAATAGAGGTTTGAATGGTTGTATGTTGACATCCTAGAAAATTAAACATACATGAGGTTTGAATGGTTGTATGTTGTCTTTATTTTTTTTTTGCCTCCTTTCTCTGTAGTCAAACAGATCATCCAATATGTGGTTGGTTATAATCATGGATGTTCAATTTTAAATTTACTGATTTTGTCAAGAGAAGTGAGCAAACAATTGAGGATCTTAAAAGGACGTAGAAAAGACAAGGGAACATGACATAATATATTGCAATTTATTCTGAGAATTTGGTAAAGAATAGTGAATAAACTTGCTTCAGAGGTTCTCAGCCAAACTGTTTTCTGAAACAAAACAACATAGGAGAAGAACTAAGATCTGTTGTACGGCATATCTAGTCGCTAAAATCACAAATGGTCAAGCATTCATAAATCCACAACTCTAATCTTAAAAGAAAATTCTATAGTGAAAAGCTTGTCAAAAGGTTTGATCCACAAAATAATACCAGTTCAAGAATTAGAACACAACTCAGAGAGATTGACATCCTTCTTTGCTTTGAATCTTCAATTGCTGCTATAGTTGTTTTCTTTGCCAAACTAAACTCATTATGCACTTTCATTTTTTTATTTTTTGCATGGTATTGAAGACATTATTATCAACATTGGATAAAAAAATTTAGTAGGGGAACTCTTCATGGAAACCAATTAAACCTTCATCAAAATAAGCACGTGATTAGCTATCGATCAACTAATTTAGGCGAGTGTTGCCTAAGAGTGTAATCTTACCTTGAGAATGCCATTATCATGAGACAAAAAATTAATCATTAAACTGAAAAAATAGTTGAAAATCCAAATTCCATTTCAATACATAGATGATATTTGTTTTAGTCACACAAGACAATAATATATCATATATTATTATGTGATCAAATGATGAGATATTTCATTTATCATTAGGACATGTTTAACATGGCTTGAGCGCGAAATTAGCTAACAAATCTTGTTGATTATATCAACAAATCATATGCCACTTGTACCTGGCAAAAACTTAGATTGAGAGGGAAAATCGAACTTTTGAAAAATGACACATTCATCAAAGGAAGTCTTCAGTTGAAGGCAAGTCCCCAATCAGCAGTTCAATCTCAAAGAACACGATCACCCTATCGTTCAACAATTCAATTCAACACTTGCAGTGCATCGCTTTTTACCATAATCTTTGAAATTCCAAGCCCTAGCTGTCATCAAGGCTTCTTTAATGGCGAGAGCTTCCGACACTCTACATGAAGCCTCCGATATCAATGGAATAGGAAATATTATCAAGCCTACACACGTAAGACGACACACTTTTCTTCTTTCGCAACAATTCTCAAACCTGGTTTATATCCAGCCTTATCAGTTGCAGTGTAAAGTATTCAATTTCATAATGGGTAGACAAGGAGAACACAATTCACAAACCAACAAGTGTACTTCCTGACCATTCTCATTCTGTCTCTGGCAAATCTTTGCCTCCAAATTATTTTTTATATTTGAATTATTAATAAAAATGAGTTCATATTTCTAATTTTATTTCCCTAATAGGGGCTCATATATAGAGCAACACAAGTGACCAACAATGTATCCAGGCCAACCTAAAAGAGAATATAAACATCAATTGAATGACAGTAGCATTAGTACCACCAAAACTCTAATCAATACTCCTCCACAAGAGGTAAATTAGATAATAGAATTCTAAACACGGTATTATGTTAAATAATGAAGAAGATGATAGCTCTGAGATAAAGGAAGAACATGCTTTACC